ATACCTAATTTGAAGAGTTTAACATGTGGGGCATTATATAAATCAATACTTAAAGAAAAAACCTTACTTAAAAAGGTATCTTCACATATTAAATGTGATAAAACTGTTTAAGTACCTACTTGGATAAATAAGTTTTAATTTTAATTGTGCAATTATTAATTAAGAAGAAGAAGATTATTATTAGTTTAACTTTTTATTAAAGAGATCTTTAAAATGTAAGCTGTATTGTATTGAAAATTCTAAAAATCCTGAGATTTCATGAGATTTGCAAAATCCAGCTGCAATCCTGAGAAGAGTCCAAAAATCTAATGAGAAATGAGATCTCAGGACAAATCCTGAGATATGGTAACCCTACTCACAGGGGATTGCCCTTTATCAATAAAACTGAATGAACAGAGTGGCCTGAGTGAGCATAAAATGGTGTGACTCCACAAGCACTTCCACCCCTCTGACTATACCTGTTACTTTGTCATTAATGTTAGATAATTTGGTAGTCTTGCAATGCAGAGTTAATGCAATATGACATGTACCTCTTTATAGCATCATTCAAAAGTATGTGCAACAGCAAACACAAAGATTATTGCCTGCTTTGCTTCCTATCTCAATGCAAAGCTTACAGATAATGCAGAAATTACAGATAAAAAGGCAACTAGCCAAGCCAACACCAGCCAAGGTAATGGAATGTATGGTAATGTAGGATACGACTTAGGGACCTTCAAGAAAAGAGCCTACTCCTTTTTAAAAGGCCGGCAACGCATCTGCAATTCCTCTGGTGTTGCAGTTGTCCATGGGCGGCGGTAGTCACTTACCATCAGGTGAGCCACATGCTCATTTGACCCCTTTCCTATAAAAAAAAAAAAAAACTATTCTGTTGTGTTTCTTATCTTATCTCTTTTTAAAGAACATTACCGCCACATTAGAATTCTTTCCAGTATTATGGAGGCATTGTACTTACAGATCAATACAGAATAATTATTTGTAGGCTATGGCTTGTTCCATTCAAACATACAGCTGTCAGTGCAGCAACTCAAACTAAGTCACTGCATGACAGAGCCGTCGGCATTTCCTACTCACTACTCTTTTGCAATAGAAGACAGGCTCTGGTTTCACATATCTGGTTACTGCTAGCAAACTAGATCTCTTTCAACTTGCTTAAGGCATCTGACATTATGGGTCTGAATTTATTTATTTCATTATTTAGCATGGAATAACCAGTAAATAAATTTAGTGACAACACAACAATTAAATTGAGTACAATTTTATCATCTACATCAGAATTATTAAAAAAAAATTGTTAAATTGAAATAAAAAAAAAATGTCAAATATTAAAAACCAAACAGTAAAATGTCACAGCCTCAATTTAAAAAATGCTTAAAGTTGCTCTTTCTCTCTACACTTAATAAAAATGGAAAGTGATAGGTATAGAGTTAATTAACACTTAATTTAAGTAAGGGATAATCAACAATTAATAGTAAGGTTGAATAGATTTTATTGTTCATCAAACATTCATGTCATATTACATCATCTCACAGTACTGCAAGCTTTCAACAGAATTACCTATTCATCTGCAAACAGATAACATTGGGGAGCAGTGCCTAAGAGGGCATTAACCAGTTCAGTGCGGATGGCACGCCAGGGGTGCCATCGATTATTTTTGTGTGTGGCGTATGACATGTGAGTCGTGTCTATTTAAAAATCGTTATAATTCGCTCAAATTGCTTTATTGGAAGATTTATCCAGAACAAAATATTCATTATTTTGCAAGTAGTTCATGGCTACAGCTTAGTTTCTGGATATTTTACAAATTTGAAATATTTAGGGGTTGACAACCTTTTTTTAACTTGTACATGGTACTCTTTTTACTTTGTGGGTTTTAAGTCATGTTGTGGAAAAATAGTCTAATAAATAACAAATAATAGTACTCATTGCGATCGCTCACAAACTCAAGTTGTAAATAAATTTCTGGAAAACACTTCTCCTGTTAAGAAAAAAGAAAATGTGTTTGTCTTATTGTTTAATTTTGCTTGTGATATGGTATAAGGTTTATTTTTGCTTGAAACAGTTCGAAACCGTTCATGCATAAAAAAGTTCACTAATATATTATAGTCTTTTGTTAATCCACCGCCTTATAGCGCCGGTGTTTTTTTTCCTTTTAAAACACTTGTTTTGGTGTTCTTACTAATTATACGTTTTCAAATCAACTTTACTTTTACATTTGTATGACATTAAATAATATTTAACATTTATAAATATCCATGAATCATAAACCTTATTTTTTTCTAAATTAAGGTTCTTGATTGTTTGATATTTACAAATATTATTATTAGGTGAAAATTTAATTTAATAAAAACCAAGGTTTTCCAGGGTGATTTAGCTGTACCTACTTATATAAATGTGTTTTTTATAAAACAAAATATAGTTCCAAAGGTTTTTAATCTCTGCATAAAAAAAGTCACTTACTCTCAATTTCAAAGAAAACAGAAAAACCTGTAGTTACCCACTAAAAACAAGTATTCTTCCGTTTGTAACTGATGTTTGATGTCAACTAAACTTAATTAGGTCTAAACAAGTGAAAAAAGCATAATAAACAACATTACTTTTACACATGGCTGATGGCACAATACGCGTGTGTTCTGTGGCACATGACACGCCAGGAGTGTCATGAAATATTTGTTCGCCGCCACAGCTAAAAGTTGTCAAAAATTGGTGCCGCAACGAATTGGTTAATTTCATAATCAGTAGTTGGTATAAGAGATCTAGATTGAGCAACAATAAATAAATGCAATACAATGTATAAATACACTATACATGAAAATATTAAATGAAAAATAATATGTAAGAAAGAGCTAATTAGTAACATTTTATACATCATTGCATTAGAAAAGTTCTAACCGAGAAATGTAATCCAGGTAGTTATAACGCAAGTTAATGTTAAGTGTAATAAATTTAAGGTGAGACAAATAATACAGAATGAACTATCAGTCTAACGTTTTTCAAAAATTTCAATTTTAAGTTCTTTTGTTATAAAATAAAATCTTACCTAAAGTCCAGGCACAACTTGGTTCTGCCTACAGTATTCCAAAGTATCAAAGCACCTATAAAAGCATTGATCACAAATGCAAATATCACAGCGCGACCCTCATTGTCTCTTACATGTATTTCCTGAAATATGAGTTTAAATTAAAAGAAAATGTATATATAATCTCAGAGCTCAGGTCATAAAAAGATATGATAATGAGTAAAAAAATTAGAACTTGCATGATACTCGAATATATGGTCTAATGTGCGAGTAGATCCTGTTATATCTTGCATTACAGCGATGACCAGGCACAGTGTGAGGTAGAGGAGAAACTGCATTGCCACTATTTGAGATGTGATCAAACACGGATCCCATTGTGTATAGCGGAAAGAGCCTGATAATTTCTTTATTTTGGCCATCACGAATTAAAAACTGTGAACTTTTAACATACATCTATCCGCGTGAATATTATTCTAATCGATTGATGAGAATTCCTGGAAACTTTGTTTGATATATAAATTAAACCATACTACAGTAACAAATAGTAGGAAATATTTTAATCACGAAAAAATTCGAAATCCTAGATTACTATATTTTTTGATGACATTGAATGACATGTTTATAATATAATTTTGTAGTTGTTACGATTTGCTAATTCATGTAGACAAAGCTCATAGAACATACAGCCTAATTTGATTTAAAGTGTAAAATGGAAAATTTTAACGATAGCTTAACTCAGCGGAAAATTGATGTCGATCACACAATGAATCAAAAACTTGCGATTTATATTACCTTCGAAGCATTTGTAACTTCACACTTAATAATTCACATACACAAACATAAACAAAATTCCATTACTTTTTGTAAGTTGATGGCTGATTAAATTTATATTAGTGAATGTTCATTTAATCAATATTATATAAATCTGTAAATACTGGGATCAGCTACTAGCTAGTAGTTTTTTTTTTTATAGGATAAGGGTGACAAACGAGCACACAGTCCACCTGATGGTAATTGGTTGCTGCGGCCCATAGACATCTACATCTATCCTCTATTACAAATCAAATGTAGATGCGTTGTCACCCGTGAGGACTAAGATGGAATGCCTCATTTCCAGTAAAAAGGGCCTCCGGCCACCTGCACTCACCAAGCGAAACGCAGAGCTAAATCTCTACTTCACGCTGGTTTTCTGTGAGGTCGTGGTACCACCCCGGTTCGAACCGGCCCATCCGTGCGACAGCAAAAGCTGTCGCGTGGCTCTACCACTGTTGAAATCAATTACTCTACTCCACAGAAACAGAAATTCATTATTGGGGCAATGTATCCTTGGCGGTGCGGTGGACAAAATATCGGTTTTAATAACTTTATTAAAAAGGGATTGTATAAAAGGGTTATTATAATATTTATGGAATTTATGGATGATAATGAATTTTTGATAAATGATAATTAATGATGGAAATAACGTAATACCAATACCAAGCTATTTCTATTAAGATTTGTACAGTACTTGTGTAATATAAATATAAACTTATTTTTGGAACGAAGTTCCTTATAGCACGGTATGAATTTGGCAGATGGTGGCTAGGCGAGAAAAAATGTAAGATTTTTTCGTCACGACCCTTTTCTATAGTGTGAATGAGATGGAATAATATCCATCTCCCCCACACTTTTTCTTATCTTTCCATGAAAGAAATATTACTTTAAATGACGCTTCATTTTAATTGACGCTAGTAATTCATTTACTTGTATTTGTAAGTAAATAATATAATACGTTTATCAATAATAATATACTACAAAAGGAACTTCGTTTCAACCAAATGTTCCACGACACTAACGCATGTTTTTCTTCTCAGGACAGGCATTTTCGAACCAATGATAAATAAAACAAAAGGATAAAATTTTAACAAGTATAATATGTACAAGTACAAACATAATAATCTATATTAAATTAAAAAAAAAAAAACTATTTCTATGTTTATTTCTAATGCTTGCTTCGTTTATTTTTCTTTATTATAGGTTTATGTAAGTTGATAACTTCCACTTTAGTCATTAAATCATTCTGAGAATTTAAATCCAGATCCAGATTGAATTTATCTTTTAAATTTTGCAAAATTGTTTTGTAGAAGGCACATTTTCTCTTGAGATAAGTATTTTGTCTCTGTATTTTCATAATTTTTTCTATAAGTTTCTCGTTAGTAGCAGATTCTTTGCGTAAGTGTTTTTTAAGTGCAATTTTTTTCGGCGAATCGAAAATTGAATCCGAACTGCTTACTGATTCTGACAACGGTTCTATCACTTCCGGTTCTGGAGATTTTGTTGGCTATAAAAGGTAATAATTAAATAAATTGGAGGGAGGGAGTAGTGTCTCTTAAATAAAAAAAAAACATGTGTGCAGTTGAAGTACGCGGTAAAAGTGAAACCTTCAAATTCAAATGAAATGAAATATAAAACAAAACATTTTACAGCAAATGATTTAATTTGATAATTTTCAATCACAAACGCGGCATAAAATATAAGATAAAAGTTAAATTTTATAGCAAATAAATGTAGAGTGCACGCCTTGCAATACATAACGCAGTGTTGGTACCGACTTTGTTATATGACAGCGAAACCTGGGTAAGCCAGAAGAAGCATAAAAGTAAGTTGAATGCAGTGGAGATGCGATCTCTTCGTAAAATGTGCGGCGTTACCATGGCCGACCGAAAGCGAAACGAAGAGATTCGCAATATGGCAGGTTTGAAAGATGACCTTATTACAAAAATTGATAAGGGCGTGCTTCGGTGGTTTGGGCACGTTGAGCGAATGAGTGAAGACCGAATGGTGAAGAAAATATATAGCGCGAAAGTTAATATTAAAAGGTGTCGAGGTAGACCGAGACTAACTTTCGAAGACCATGTGAGCAAATTGCTCGAAGAGGGTAGGGTCAAAAGTACTCGGATACCTAGACGGGCATGCATGAAGAAGATAATGAATCTGAAAGAAGCGAAAGAGGTTTGTAAGGATCGTGACACTTGGCGATCTGTTCTCTCTGGCTACCCCGTCAGGGATTGTGCGTGAAGATAAATAAATAAATGTTAGAATGCTTATTTTAAGAGTCTAAATTTTATTGTATTAAATTAAAAGAATATTTATTTCGACTAAAATCGCTTTGTAATAGCGACGTTTACTTAATTCTATAGGTAAAATCTTTTTACAGAACAAAAATTGATTGACTCTCAAGGTGGTCCATAAAATAGTCACTAAATGGCCTAAACAAAACACACAACTTCTTAAAAATCATGGATTGTTAAGAATGGTTTGGATATGATAATTTTATTCAATATAATTAATTTTATTTATTTGATAAGAAATTTGTAATTTTTCAACTATTTATTTTAACAGTTAAAAATTAAATTAACCATCTTTAAAGCACCGCACTCAGAGGAGATCGAGATAATAGGAAACACTTTATACTGGACTAGCTGTTCCTCGCGGTATGACCGCGTCCTTTATTCACTGCTGGTTTCCCTTGGTCCTCATCGGTTGGCCTGGCGTCTTTCGCGCGCCGAGCCAAGTGTTAAATTACCTACTTTTAATTTTTCATTATCTCTTAAACTATACGTCCAAATAACATGTTATAAAGAGCAAAGTTTATCTTCATAAAATTGTCTTGATGATGAAGTGACTTTAGTCTGTAAGGATAAATATGCCATGTCTAATAATAACGCTCATAAATCACTTTTTAATTATCAATTTTTTTGTCACACAATACCTTATTGTGGCTTATGTATAAGAAATGGACCTATGGCATCCAGGACTTTTTTTAGATGGGGGTAAGATCTATATTTTTGTAGAACATTGTATTTACGTATCACTAATCATTACGCCAGCGCACGCGGATAAAGCAGTTCAGGAGCGCTTTTTCTTCCGACTTGCTCAACAAAAATTATTAGCTTATACTATTGCTCGTGAATCTGGCTATCATATACAAAAATAATTTACAAATCGTACTGTTAGTTCCAGAGATTAGAGTGTTTAAACAAACAAAAAAAAACATCATCCGCTTTATTATATTAGTAATAATAGATTCCATCTCATTCTCTCGTAGGCCTATCCTAAAGCTTTATATATTTGTATCTTTTTAGTGTCGCTTTTTAGTTTCCTTGAGTTTCAAATCATAACGATGCTAAAGAAAATTTCACTTCAATAAGCGATAGCTAAACTTGCTGAAATAACATTACTTATGCATTTATAATTTATAATATTACTCTCCAGTAGTCTAAGGTTCACTCGTAGATAATGCCTCAGGCATTAAGTCCGCCTATATACATTACAGTGTATATGAAGATAAATAAATAAATAAATATTAGTAGAAATACATTTCAACCGAGTCGATCCAATAGTTTGAAACCTTAAAATATGTAATTAAAAATTCTTACATGATCGCTTGGTACTGCAGATTTCTTCAAGTAAACTCGTCCTGTTTTTGTGATGTATTTATCATCTTCTTTGAAGTGCGCGGAACATATGCGTGAATATTTTGTGGGTAACCACATTTTTTCACTGCGATTCTTCTGAACGAATTGAATCCACGACTCTCTATTTTCATGATCAGGCCCGGGAAAACTATAAATCCATATAATTTTAAGTAATTATTACGAAAATATTAAAAAGATATAAAAGCTGTGTGCGACTTGAGGATGAAATATTAAAACAAAGTAACGATCCTCTTCGCTTTACGTAGTCGCGTAACGTTTGTATTTCAATGGTATAAAATATTTGTTCGTGATCATTATATCAAGTCTTACACTACAAATTAAACGTAGTTGTTTAAAAAAGTCGAAGTTACTCTATGTATTTTACCGAAACTAAATGTAACCTATATGTTACATACTCTTTGGCGGAAGCATGGCCGCCAGCGCGGTGACATATGGCCACGAGTGACAATCGAATTAAATATAATTGAATTTCGTGTTTTATTGAGAACAGAACACTTACGTGTGAAAAGTCACTCCTTGTTCTTTGCTTATTTTTCTCGAGTGGTTTACACAGTACCTCAATACACATGAAGGCATATTTATTTCAGTTCGAATATATAGCACTCAAACGTGTCACGTTGCGGCAGGCATCCGGCACAGACTAATTATGGTTGAGTCCGCGGACTCTAATAATAATAATGCTTGATGTGTATCATTTAGTACGGAGCACATTTTACTTCAATGTATTTTATACACAAAAACGACCAAAAATAAGAAGAAAGTCCAAAGTATAAAAAGTAAAACAATGATTTTTATATAATTAGGTACATAAAATCTATGATACTCAATATAAATAAAGTAATAAAATTAATAAATTAGCAAATTACGGAAACTGGCACTTCTTTTATCTTCCTAATGGTCCACTTGCTACCTATAAGCAGTCTTTGCCTATGGATTATTTACCTCCTTAAAAACTTTTCTCATTCATTTTAAAAATCTTATTACGTATGTATGCGAAACCTAACTTTTATTCATTGTATGGTGCGTTGGGGGAATACCGATAGAAATTTTGAAGACATGGGATTTGTGCATTTAGATAAATAACTGAACGTAAGGTTAAATTGGCAAATAAATTATTTTAACAGTGTTGATTTTAGCAAATAGCTTAGTTATTTAGGTAAAGTTCCTGTTGTTAATATAAAAATTATGATATTTAGGATAACAATATGGCACAAAACTGTTATATATATTTTAATGTAATTTGATTGTTATCTGTTTTGTTGACAATATAATAAAATAAAGATGCCTTGGATAACATGCTTAGTTTTTTTTAATTTACGGGTTTTAAAACTTACTTTTATTTTTCTTACACCGGGGTTATTGCGAAATATCCTAGGGTAGGTATTTCAGATTGCATTAAGGCGGCTACTGACCTGCCTGCCGCAGGGGCAATCTAGGGAGTACAGCGATCGAAGCAATATCGGAGGTCGCAGGGCCGACTTAAAAAAGTGCCCCTGCTTGCCTACACACATCACAATTAAGGAGGCAATTAAGGGTCATCCCCACTCTTACACCCTAGATTGCCCCTGCGGCAGGCAGGTCAGTAGCGACCTTTAAGAAGTGTGTTCTTTTAAGGTGGCTACTGACCTGCCTGCCGCAGGGGCAATCTAGGGTGTAGGAGTGGGGATGACCCTTAATTGCCCCCTTAATTGTGATGTGTGTAGGCAAGCAGGGGCAATTTTTTAAGTCGGCCCTGCGGCAGGGCGGCAGGAGCGCAGTGTTGCAAAAGTTCCCGATTTATCGGGAGATATACTGATTTTAATTAGTATCTCCCGATATCCCGATTTAGCGAACGTATCCCCCGATTTTTTACATTTTCAACTAATGTAAAATAATAATCATAAATAAAATTGAAAAGTAATAATCAAAATACTAAAATGAACTTTTAACACAAAATCTATGTACGGGGACTTCCCAAATTGCTCGCACCACGTCCTATGGGACCTATACCTATAACCTTATTAGGTTTTTAACTTCGCGGTATGGTTAAAGCATATTGCACTGATACATCTTAAAATAGAATTCATTATTGTCTGGTAAGTGTACGGGGGAGATCCCTAAAGATTACTTTGTTCGGGTTGTTTTACGAATTAGGTAGCTTAGGCCATGTATATATAGTGTTGTTCGTTCATAGAATTACATTCATTAATTACTAGCCTTCTTCTGTTTTGTTGAGAACTGCTGTGCTTTATGTCCAAATTTGTTAGGTAGCATTAGTTATCAAAAAATTTATTTAGGATGGCGTTTGCTTCTAAATATGAAAGAAATTAAATCACTCAGTGAAGAAACAGAAGAATTTTGGAGAAGCGTGAGTAGCAAAAATATATAATCATAAAATTTTAGTTTAAATTATAAAGACATTATTTTGATCGAAAAAAAATGAAACGAAAAAGAACGACATCTAAAAGAACGTTTTATGATACATTTCTAAACCCATGCATGTAAATAAAAATCTCCCGATTTCTCCAGATTTTTAGCTGGCAAATCTACCGATTTTTTATTTTTCACTTTTGCAACACTGCAGGAGCGCAAGACCTTCCTTGCTCCCTAGATCGGCCCTGCCGCTGTTGCGTGTGTAGCACAATTGGGCCAATTTCGTTCAGTTCGTTGCGACCACAGACTACATTATATATTACTGACAGTTGCGACTTTCGCGAGGAGCACACGTATGAATACAAGTCAGAACCGCAGAAATAACGTTATTTGAACGTTGTAACTTACAAGTAACATTACTGGGATTTGTTACCTAACTTATCATACGGGCTAGTATGGGAAAGTAAATATTCCAATAATATTAAAATTGCTGGAATATAAATAAAATGTCATTAAATAAAAATTTAAACAAAAATACAAATTTTAGTAAATAAATTTTATTAAAACCATCATTAGAAAACTATCCTGGCTATTTGTAACACTAGTTAAATTATAGTTACTAAGCACTAGATAGTTAAGTTATATCACAACAAATTGGTATATAACCAATTTGTCCTGTGATATAACTTACTTACTTACTTATCTTCACGCACAATCCCTGACGAGGTAGCCAGAGAGAACAGATCGCCAAGTGTCACGATCCTTACATACCTCTTTCGCTTCTTTCAGATTCATTATCTTCTTCATACATGCACGTCTAGGTATCCGAGTACTCTTGACCCTACCCTCTTCGAGCAATTTGCTCACATGGTCTTCGAAAGTTAGTCTCGGTCTACCTCGACACCTTTTAATATTAACTTTCGCGCTATATATTTTCTTCACCATTCGGTCTTCACTCATTCGCTCAACGTGCCCAAACCACCGAAGCACGCCCTTATCAATTTTTGTGATAAGGTCATCTTTCAAACCTGCCATATTGCGTATCTCTTCGTTTCGCTTTCGGTCGGCCATGGTAACGCCGCACTTTTACGAAGAGATCGCATCTCCACTGCATTCAACTTACTTTTATGTTTCTTCTGGCATACCCAGGTTTCGCTGCCATATAACAAAGTCGGTACCAACACTGCGTTATGTATTGCAAGGCGTGCACTCTTCACTACGCCTTGCCTTTTGACTAACGCAGTCAGGGCACCGTTGACTTTGTTCCCGGCAGCGATACGCCTGTCCACATCTAAATCACATCTTCCATCCCGGCTAAAAGCACTCTCCAAGTATACAATTTCATTTACTTGTTCTAGACATTCCTGATTTACCCATATTTCACACTTCGTTCTCTCTTCGTCCCTTTCAAATACCAGAACCTTAGTTTTATTAGCGTTCAAACGGAGACCTTTAATTTCACATTCCTCTTTCATACACGTGACTAATGTCTGCAGTTCTGCCTCCGATGGTGCAATAAGCACTGCATCATCAGCATACAGCAGACAATTTACTTTTATGTCACCCAATTTCACACTCAAACAGCTATCTTTCAGCTTTTGTAAACAGCTGTCGAGATACAGTATGAACAGCCAGGAAGACATGACACAACCCTGCTTTACGCCTGTTTGGACGCTAAACATGGATGACAGGTCATGCCCTACCCGCACACAGGCTTTACAGTCACAGTAAAGAGACTGCACAGCCCTTAGCAATCGACCATCCACACCATACCCCGGCAACAGTTCCCACATTTTCTTCCTTACAACCTTATCAAATGCTTTCTCAAGACCCACAAAAGCACAGAAAATCTTCTGGTTAACAGCCAGAAGCTTTTCCGTGATCATGCGGAGAGAAAACATTTGATCCGTGCATCCTCTTCCAGGTCTAAATCCGCATTGTGCCTCGCATAGAAATCTATCCGATTTCTCTTGCATCCTACGTGTCAAAACCTTCGAGTAAACTTTACTTGCTAAACTGGTCAAGCTGATCGCCCGATAGCACCCGCAGTCAAAATGTGAACCTTCCTTTACCTTTATATAAAGGCACAATGACTGCGGATCGCCAATCATCCGGGACATCCCCCGTCCGCCAGCACAAATTGCACAGCAGACGAAAGCTGTCCCAGACGCGAGGCCCACCATACTTGACCATTTCAGCAGTAACTCTGTCTAGTCCCGCAGCCTTACCACATTTCAAACTTCGAATCGCACGTTCAGTCTCTTTCATACTGATGACCTAATTGTCATCGAGGTCCGGGTCTGGCGTACCAGTCACGGCGTCATCCCCGGATCCCTCACTAAGATCATCACACGCATACATTTCTCTATAAAATTCGCTCCATCGCTGCATGACGTCCGATTTTTCTGAGAGGACGTCATTAGTTCTCGAAAGCACTTTGTTCATTCTTAAGGCCGTCGCACCAGTCCGGGTCCTTCCAACCTCTTTCCAGAAGAGTTTGGAGTTCTCCTTAAAGTTGTGAGTCAACCTTTCGTCCGCTTCCATTCTACACTTTTCACGCACTTCCTCAATCAATGCTTTCGTGTGAACTTTCTGCAGCCTATATCTTTCTTTCATCTTCTCTCTCATATCCTTATCATTACTAGAGGCCAAGTAGTCTAACCATGCTTTCTCCTTCTTCTTTACAGCTTCTTTCACTTCATCATTCCACCATGCATCTCTTCTTTTACTACTGCCTCTTTTTATTGTTCCACACACTTCTTCCGCTGCACTTACCATTCCATCCCTAAGGTTCTGCCATGTTCTTTCTACACATTCGTTTCTGCCATCGATGGTGTCAAGCTTTTCGGCTACCCTCGCATGATATTTGTCCCTAGTATCTTCTTCCTGAAGCTTCCAGCTTCGGATGCGACAGACCGACTGTGGTTCTGTCACTGCCGTCCGGTAGCGCCAACCCGCGAACAGACCCCTAAATCTAGTAATCACTAGATAGTGATCCCTTCCCAGGTCAGCACCCCTGAACACTCGCGTATCCATAACCTGTTTTCGCAGTCGGTCATCCACCAGGAACAAATCGATCATACTTCTCTCATTCTTTCTTTCTCTAGTATACATATGGATTTTCTTGTGATTGAACATAGTGTTTGTCACAAGAAGACCCTTTTCCTTGCATACCGCCAGTATAAGCTTGCCAGCATCATTAACCCTTTTATCGCCAAACTTTC